TTAAAACAATCACCATAAATGATTTAGAAATCTTATGTTGTCTCTCTTGTTCTGGCTCGTGTAACTCTATATGAGTTCATGCTCCTCAGCTGGACGCAATTCCTCCCTGTCTACTGTTACTGTGAGCTTTTTGTAACCACTGCTGTGTTTTTAAGTCCCTCTACACTTCCCGCATGCAAGACCACAGAGCACATTATGTTGCTTCCTATATGAAAAGACTGACCTTGATTGCAAGCAAACACTGTCATTTTGGAAGTGGAGGGGGCAGAGGGAAAAGCAGCTACTCAGCAATCTCAGGTTTGTGTTTTTCTAGCATGTCCCAAGTGCCCCTACTGACTCACTGCCTGCGGTCTGAGGAGATAGCGTAGCTGTGGGAAATGTCTGCTGGGTGTTCTCCTCAGCATCCCCAGCCACTTGCCAGCCCCACCGGCCAGCCCAGGCACTGTGAGTGACCGTGGCGGTGCTGCAGCTTTGCCTAAAGCCCTGCACCGAGGCACGGCAGGTAATGCAAGCTGTGGGCTCCCTCCATCCGAGCAGTGGGGATGGCTGGTGGCCTGGGGAAGCGCTCAAGCTGAGCGGCAAGCCGTGGTCCACCTGCCTTGTCAGACACCGTCTGCAGACCTGCAAAGCAGTACACATGCGCCCGTGCTTGCATTTCAGCAGCCATCCTGCTGATTCCACTTGCGGCATGTCATTATCAGCATCTGAGGCTTTACATGGGTGAAGCCACTGTTTGACACACCATAAACAAAATTCAGCATATCGACACGTAATTTTATCCATGGAAGAAGGAAGGGCAGTAAGAGATACATTTTTTTTCACTTTTATTTTCACTTTAGAGAGGCGTTCAGATGTGATGATGGTAAGACTGTCAGTGTTTAGCAACTTAGATCACCCCCTCCAGTTCTGCATGTAGGGACAGAGATAGCACTTTACAACGTTCAACAAGCTCAGCTTTGCACCAGTCCTTCACGGCTTGTCCACACCGCATCATATGTCACGTGGGCTGTGCCAAAGGATAGGTTTCCCCCTTAAATAAAAAGCCAGCAAACCCCACTTTTTTAGAATTAATGTCTATTTCGCCGGCCCGTGGTGGCGTGTCTGTGCACGGACAATGAATCTGCTGCTGGCAGCCTGTGTGCAGCACTAGTGAGCAAGAAAAAAGACCTCCCGGTGTCCCAGGCAGGTGTGGCAAACAGGGGTGTGATGTTTACCACAATGACCGATGCAGGGAGAGTCTCTTTGGTAAACCCAAACGTCATTTGTGGTGAGGGCAGGTGAAGTACTTTCTGTTGCCTGAAGTACTTCTTGGCCTCGCTGCTGCTGGCTCTGGGCCTTTCTAGCCATTACTTTGTCCCTTGTAGCTACTTGACTCCTGCAAGGAGGGATTCCTCCCTCCACCTCCTTCCAGTGCTTGACAGTGTACTTATTCTTCACAGCCTGCCTGGTTTCTTTTTCAGGGAAAGGGTCTGTGGAAATCGCAGGCGCATATAGCAGGGATGCAATCTGCAACCAAGCTGTCGCTGCTCTGGCCAAACAAGCACTCCTTCATGACATGTCTCTGGCCCATCTCCTCCTGTTTGTCCCAGTCAGTCATATACAACTGGTGTATGACAGCACTTATTTCTCTGGATAAGCGTGCAAATTCCTGTATTCTTGGCATCTGTTGTGCACTGGTCTAATTCCTCTGTTTAGTCTTTCTCTTTCTGTCCCATGTATTTGGTGATTCTCATGGTTGGATAGCTTCTTTTCTTCCCTCTCCATTTCTGTTCTCCCCAAGAGCCCATTTGGGAACTGTGCACAGGGACATTATAAATTATTAAAACCAGATTTTTCCATATGAATAAGCCCAAGAACATGTGCTGGTGCAACAGTTGTGGTTTGCTTTGCATTTGCTTGCCAGTCAGCTTTCAACATTCAGTATTTCTTAATGCTTCACCACCTTATTCTTATATGAACCAGAGAAATTTTCTCATATTTTTAATTGCATGAAGCTGGCTCAGCCAAACTGAATAACAGAATAAATAGCAAAGTCCATGTGAGTGCAGTTCCTGAATGCCAAGCACCATCAGCCACAGACCCACATGGTTGGGCTCCTCCAGGACAGACAGCAGAACCTGGGAGTCACTAGAAAAAGCTGGCACCTTCACTGTCCCTTATAGAAATGGTCTTATTCCCACTCCATGATGCCTGAACTTCCATTTCCCCTTTCATGGACTAAGGAAACAGAGACATACCTTGCTTGTGGACGCCTTTTGAAAGCCTCAGTTGCAAGGAACTACCAGAACACTAAATATTACTTGAGATTTTGGCTACTTTATTGGGATATTCTAGGAGAGCAAAATCCACCCAAATGTGGCAAGGCAACTGCGTGTAGCTGTGGTGCGGGAAATAGTGATGTAGTGAGATGAGCAACGAGTGAGACATATGGGGAATAGCCTGGTCTTCAAGTTAGGAATTTCACAGCTATACTCCATCATCTTGAGCTGTATAAATGAATCATCAGCCCAGTGAAACCACAGAATGACACCAGCTTCCCTAAAAGAATCTTTCTCTATATATATAGCTGCTAGACTTGCATATCCCTGTTTATAAATACTGACCACAAAGTGACATGGCCTTCTCAGCAGACAGGTCCTAAAAAAATACTTGCTTTATCTTTCATTTCTTCCCGAGTTATTTTAAGCCAGACTTTTGCACCATATTATTTTAACTTGAAATCCTGGTGCTGGTGCAGCTGATCTGGTCTGGGTAAAAAGACATCCAGGACAGAGGTCTCCTGAAGAGAGTTGATCCTTGTTAGGTGTATCTGAGGACATCATGCTCTCTGGGAACTGCACTGGTTTTAGCTGAGATTTCTAAGGCAGGACAGCATATGTTACTGCACTATAAACTCACTCTGAATCCTTTAGCCTGCTCCACCTGTATGTTCCAAGGAGCTGTGTTTTCGGAGAGTCTGGATTTGTCAAGTGAGATGAAATTCGGTCACTGGTGGTGTGTGGAGATGAGAAACCCAAAGCCTTCCCTTGCAGGGGAAAGGCAGGCAGAGTGGGCAATTACCATGTGCTGGTGGGCAATTACAAGTTGACCAATTAGCATCCGTGTACTTGCAAGCAAGCCCAAGGATGTGCTACACTTGGCAAACTGGTCATGGTGTGAGGTGGGAGCAGAGGACATGAAGTGGGGAAGGAAAGGTCTGGAGTGTGGCCATGAGGGGAGAGCTGAAGGGGTGGCAGTGGAAGGAGCTGTGCGTGTGTGTGCACTAAGGTCATGGGGCACAAACCTCCAGGAAAGCAAGTGATGCTAGTTCTGCTGCTCATGCAACAGCTCACTGTTGGATGGCTGTACTCAGTGGATGCAAGGAACGCAGCTGGTAGGTACAATCATTTCAAAGACATCAAACCTCATTTCCTGCAGTTTTGCTCATTTTGAGTCTGGTAAATGTCTGGATTATTTTCTGGGAACTTGCTTGGGTCTTGTGACCAGGGTTACCATCAGAGACTCCCACCTCTATTGCATAAGTCACACATATAGTGGTCGCCTGAACTTGGACTGAACATCAGGTCACCCAAAGTGGCAGTCCTTCTGTCTGGTTGTCATACTGCCAAAGGAAGGACCGAAATAATTTTATAAGTCATGAGGTTGGATTCTCAAAATAAAGTGCAGGAGCTCCAGAAAGCAAGACCAGTGGTTTCACAGCCCAAAGGTGGGAGTTTTGCATCAATGGCGATGAGTTCTTTCTTTTCACTGAGAAGATGGAGCACCACAGGGCAGTAGATAATTTTAGTTGCATTACCAGCCTTTCAGGTTCACGGGTAAATGCGCTGCTTAAAGAAGACGAGGCAGCTGTGTGTGGGGTTGATAGCTATAGGAACCCTTGCAATGACTGTGTTGATCAGGATATAGAAACCATTACAGATTGAAGTAGGGGACTTCCTGATTTTTTTTTGTTTGTTTGCTTTTGTTTATTTACTGAAGTTGCCATAATGTAGTGGATATTGCCTGCACAAAAGAATAAGTGCAACCCAAGCATATGACACATCCCCAAAGCTTGCATACATTAATAGATGTCATCATCTGTATGTTTCTTCTCTCCATAGTAGATGGCAGAAAGGCCTCAAAACCTGATAATTTTTCATCTCTTAAACAATATCCTGACATCTCCAGTATAACTGAGGCTGATATTAGTTAAAGAGAGAGTTCATGAATTACGTTAGGGTTAAATAAAAAATGGTTCTTACGTGCTTACGGCGATAAACAGCTATGTTGTTTTTATTACTCAGTCATTATTAGGTTAGTGAGAGCACCACAAAGCCTGAGCCTTAGGTTAGGATCCCAGCAACTCCAGACCAGGGCTGCTCAGCTGAGGTTTACGAAGTCCAGGGAGGGTACATTGCCAGAGTTCATAACCCATTTATTACCCCTGCTGTTCATGAGACTGGATGTCATCATCTGCTTATATCTGTTCTCTGTACTCCGTTGCAAAGAGACCCTTAATGGAAGCTGTGACATTAAGATGGATGTTACGGAAGGAAACGGGAATCAACCCATTTGTGATTCACAAGTGATCTGGAAAATCACAACAGATTTATGTTGCCCATTAAAAACTTGCTAAACCACATTATGTGAAGACTGCAATTATCTAGCTGCTGACTGTGCTGCAGGACACCTTTTGCTACCCATGAGAATTTTTACTTTGAGATAGAGTGGGAAATAGTCATATGAGGACACGAGTGTACGCGAACTACTCTTCGTCAGAAAAAGGGAAAATTAGTCATATATTTAGCAGTCACTTCCCCTTTTTTTGGGAAATACAAACACATATTTTCTCTCTCTCCCTCACTCTACGGAAGGAAAGAAAGGTGGGTCTAAACTGGCGCTTGGCTCTGACACAAATCTGATTGGGCAATGAGAGACAAATTTCCTCTGTGTGTTGGGCTACACCCTATATAAGGTTCTCACTAACAATTGTCAGTTTTATATCTTTTCATGAGACGCTAATGGCTGAAAGACTGCAGAAGCATAGGTAAGTGAATTTGATTGAAATTTGGGAATGAAAAACTCCCCTAAGAATCCCCCTCATATTGTGTAAGGCTTATGGAGATTTCTAGACACTAAACCAAAAGGAATGGAAAGCTCTAAACAAAATAACCAAATATTTTCATCAGGCAAAGGATCTAACGAGAGAGAAACTCCCTCGTTACAGGTTATTATATGTGCACCATGGGGCTTGCTAACACCTCAGGCAAGGCCAAGAGCTCCTGCTGCAGGTGTAGCTGAGAGGGTCTACAGCTCCATGCCAATGCCCTGGAAACCCTCTCAGATCTAGCGGTACAGGAGATGACCCATGGTTATGAAACAGTATTATTGAGCAAGAGGTCGGCTTTGTGGTGTTGTAGAGATGGCAATAAGCTGGAATTTAGAGTCAAACTGTCAGATGTCAGATAAATGGTGCTGCTAGAATAGGGAGAAATTTGGATTAAAACCGCATATATAAAAATAAGCATGATGAGCATATGTATTAAAACCGCATTATAAATATGAGCATGATGGGGTACACAGAAGATACCTGAAGGTGAGTATCTATGAATATGACTGTGTTGTATTGGTAGAAATAAGCTTCTGCTTTTGGATTTAATTTGAAATAGTTTTCCGGTCGTTTAATATTCATCATATGGGACATTCACAGTGTTAGGCTAATGTTAAATGCGTGCAATTTACATTTCTGTATATAAAATGGAAATAGTAAGTATCAAATGTATATGTGTACTGTTTTGCACATAAACACCTTACATACAGCATAAAACGGTGCCTACGTGTAGCATGTTTTCTGTATTTTTGCCTGCGGTATGCTGAGATAACACGTAATCAGTCAGCTGAGCAGCAGCAGCAGCAGAAACCTGGTGGCAGAGCAGAAAGCAGTCGGTGGTGCACGGAGAAGCTGCTTTGCCCACGCTGCACCAATACAGAGGACAAGTAATGAATGACTTGACAGTGGACAGTTTTGTTTTCCCTTAGTGGCCCCGTACCTGATTTTTAGGACAGGTTGTTCAAGGTTTCCCCAATATTTTTTTAGAGCACGTGGTAATAGCGTCCACACTGAAAACTCACTGTCCAACAGCAAGATGGGTGCACATACTGCGGGCGTCAAGTGTTTTTGTCCCAGGAGCAATGTTTGTTGGAGACTGTGAAACCTTGGCTCTGGCTGTAGCAGGAAGTTTGCCTGTAGCCTGATCTACGTTAGCTGTTGCCATAGTGGGGAAGATAGAGCGACTCAGGATTTAATGAGGGCCATACCACCTTGGGAGAAACCTGAAGTGACTGCTGAAGAGGGCTAAAGTCTCCTCTGCTGCACCTTTGCTCCTGTGTTCACCCAAGCTACTACGCCACAGCTAACTCGAACCGGTCGATCCGTGCCTCAGTCACATCCTATTGCAAAATAAGCAGAGCTAGATTTTTCCACCCGTAGCTCTTGCACTGAAAAGCCTTGGGGACAGCAGCATCTTGTGGTATGTTGTCAGCATCTCCTGGAGTGAATGTGAAGGGACAGAAATTATGGGCTTGTGCTACTCCAGATGCTCTTGCTCCAGAAGTCCACCCCCGTAAACTAGGGATGAAGAAGCCTTTCTGCTCACTCAGGGTGAACCAAAGCTACCAGGTCACTTCCTGAGAAAAGAGAAGTTAACTCTTAAGTTAACGCCAAGTATTTTCTTTGTGTCCTCTGTCATGTACTAAATTTCTCTGTAGATTTCAAGACACTTCCCCTCCGTCTTCTCCTTCCGATTTCCTCTGGGAAAAAATGTGTGGGCTCTTCTTTGTCCTGGTGACGTTCACAGCAGGTGCCTCTGCTTTCCGACTCCAGCAAGTCAAAAGCACAGGTAATGGCATGCTTTTTATTTTCTTTTTTTATATATTCTGTCTCCCTCTCCCTTCTTTTTAATGTGCCTGGCTGACAGTAATGTAAAAATATCTCTGATTTATGTAGAAAAGTGCCCAGATCACACCGTGTATTTCAAACCCTACTATGAATTGCATGGAGAACCTGTGGTTCTGAAATGCCCTTCCCCCAGATACAAACATCTGGATTTTTCTGCCTTGACTCCTAATATCACATGGTATAAAAACGGTTCAAAAACCATGATATCAGGAGGAGATGAAGATCCAAGAATATGGGCAAAAGGAGATGCACTCTGGTTTTTACCAGCAGTGCTAGAAGACTCAGGAGTATATATCTGCACCAGAAGGTGGGTTTTTAAAAGAAAATCCAGTGCACTAACAAGACAACTATGTCTAAAATACATTAGCTTGATTCCAAACTCTGGTTATGTTCAGAGCATGTCTGGATAAGATTATTTACTTGCTGACTTTATTAGGGAAAAAATGAGGCAAGTCACAACTCTTAAATACTCTGTGTGTCTCCTATTGATATATATACTGAAATTTGAATAAATTGTGACACGGTATTGCCACTCTGGTTACAATCTCACAAGGAAATAACTTACATGAGAGCTTGCTCCAGCTTATGTGCAAGCCAGTCAGGGTTGTGGCGTGCAGGGACACGCTGCAGACAGGGGATTCTGCAAAATGCAACCCTCGTGTTACAGCTCCAAAGTAGCAAATAACTTCGTTTGCTCTTCAAGTCGTGTTACGCGGCATATAGCAAGACTCTAGAGTGGCTTCCCTCTTCCTTATTCCTGGTCTTTACTTTTCTTCTGCTTCATATGTTAAGCCAGAATTTGATTGTCTTGGTGTTGCTGGAAGATCTATCACAAAAGCCGATGTGTATTTTCGAGGCTGGTACTCGACCTGTGATAACTGCAGTGGGTTGAGACTTGAGCCATTGTTTGTTTCAGCCTTACTGGTCAGGTTTTTTTCTGAGTATTTGGCAGTCCATCTTAAGTTTCAAAAGAGGTACCAGGATCTGGATTTGTGGAGGAACCCATTAAGGCCTGACATCCAGAAGGTGTCCTGGGTCCTTGTCCCCTGCCAGCTCCTCCTTCCAGTGAGCCTCCCAGTACACCCCTGGCAGCTGGCACCTTGCTCTGGGATCTACAGTGAAAAACACCTGTTCATCCCTGGAGCTGCCTGTGTAGAGCAGTTTCGTGTCTTCAGCGGGATTGTGGTGGTGGAGCAGAAGTGAGGACATCAGTAGTGAAGCCAGAATAACAAAAGCTTGCAAATATTGTTCTAGAGCACAGAGTGAGCCTGAGACCATGAAGGGTGTTCTTTAATCCCCTTTCTTGACTAATTCCTCAACCTATAACACTGTGACAGGGTTACTGACAGATAGGGTAAAATGCTCTGAAACCTGTTTGAAAAGGATATGCAAGAGATGAGTACATAGCTTCATCATAACATTATCATAGAATCACAGAATGGTTTGGGTTGGAAGGGACCTTTAAAGCTCACCTAGTCCACTCCCATTGCAGCTAGCAGGGACACCTTCCACTAGACCAGGTTGCTCAAAGCCTCATCCAGCCTGGCCTTGAACACTTCCAGGGATGGGGCATCCACAGCTCCTCTGGGCAACCTGTTCCAGTGTTTCACCTCCCTCATCATAAAAAATTTCTTCCTTCTGTTTGGTCTGCATCTACCTGCTTTTAGTTTAAAACCATTAAGCAAATTTGGTGCACAAATAAGAAAACAAAAATCTGAAACTTGAAGCAGATGTGTCAGCAACATGGTTAGATTGTGCCAAAGAAGCAGTACCAGTGATTTTCCATGATCCCTCCTGGTGTGATATCAGTCATGGCCTCCTAGAAAATGCTTAGGAAGGAAATGAAGCCAGGAGGAAATGAAGCGTGTCATTTGAGTTCCCCTTGACCCTGGTGGGTGCTCACCTCTCCCCATTCTGTCTGCAGGAACTCCTCCTACTGTGCTGAGGTCTCCATCCACCTCACGGTCATGGAGAAAACAGCTGCTCGGGAGATTGCTTATCTCCAGGTCCTCTTCGCTTTCACCTCTGGAAAGATTGTTTGCCCTGAGCTGTGGGACTTCGAACCAAATAGGACAAGCCTGGACCTGAAGTGGTACAAGGTAGAATTTTCAGCTGCTCTGTGCAAATCCCAATCCCAACCCTTTTGTAAAGATACACATCTCCACTTTCTGTTCCTCCTGAACATCATGTTGGTAAAGCCATGAGCATTTTAACATTACAGCATAACATACTGGGAATTCTGGGGCAGATGTATATGTTGTTAAGAAAAGTACTCTGGAGTGGGCCTAGCACAGGATGAAGTGCTCCACATGCTATATGCTCTCACAGGCAGTGTTACTATTTTTAAGGCTGGATTACCTACCCGTGACTGCAGGGTTTGCCACTGCAGATTAGGCCCTTCTCTTTGGTGCTGTGCTTCTTTTTATGGCCCCACTAGTGAATCCCATAAAGTAGGACCTCCCAGTGATGCTGCCCTCCTGTGAGCTGTTCAGATGGGATAGCTTTCATTAATCATCAGCTGGAATACAGCATTTGAAAGCACCAAATCAATCACAGAAAGCTTATAGTGGTCTCTTGCCTAACCTGCCAGTCCATAGTTTTTCAAGTAGGCAAGCCTGGTTTTGTCTGTAAGGTCACTGAGCCATCCTCAGCTATCCAAAGCTGTACTGGACAACATGAGATTCTATTTATGTTTCCCTAAGACCTTGGCTTATCTTTTATTTACACTCCCACTGTGGTCGTATGCTGTGCCTTGTGCAGCTGTCGTTCGTAGCACAGAGTACCTGGGCTGGCTTCATACAGCAGTGCCCGTGTCATGATTGGTACCATACCAGCAAAATATCCCCGCTCGGGTTTCCCTTCACGAGCAGGGAATAACCCCCTCATCTAAGTAAAAACCCCCACCCGCTTCATGCTACAATTGTCAGAAAGAACCAGGAGGAGCTTCATGGAGAAGGAACGTCACTGCTCCTGGCAGGGCTCCCACCAAGGTATGAACAGAGCACTAGTGATACAGAGCAGGAGTATCACTTCATGAGATCATGTGGTGAGGAATAGTTTTGTGAAAACCTGCATGATTACTAAAATGTATTTGTCTTCCAAGAATGCCTTAGAATATTACTCCCAGGAGGTCATGTATGGAGAGTTGTAGCCTTGTGAAAACCCTCATAGTTACTGAAAGAGTTCTGTTTTAGAAGAATGCTGTAGATGATTACACTTAAGAGGACTCAGGAAAGAGACTATTATATCTTTTCCATCTCAAAATGTGCGCTTTATTGAAAAGCTATTCATACACGTTATTGATAGATCAAGATAGTGATTCTTCACACTTCCTGTAGTGCCTCAGAGCTCTTTAGAGACAGACACGTGCTTGGAGACCTTGCCCTTTGGTGGGAAAGTGAGCCTGCTCAGATTTCATAGTGATGAGTGAACTTTTGATAGCAGAGAGACAAGGATAAGTAATTTTGTCTGGGAGTTTCAGAGGGCGTAGCCACCCCTATCTGATCCATAATGCCAGCTGCTGTCCTTTCTTCCAGGATGCTCTGCCTTTGGAAGGTGATGATGAAAAATTCATAATTCTGAAAGGCTCGACTTCTCTGATCGTGACTTCTGTGCTGCCAACAGATGCTGGCTATTACACCTGCAAGATGGCATTTCCACACGAAGGTGTAACGTTTGAAATCACCAGGACAATTCAAATGAAGACCGTTGGTAAATACTGACCCCTTAAAACACGACAGCACTTAAGAAAATCTCATGTTAATGAAACTCGGGATAAGACCTCGTACTCGGCCTCCCGGCACAGACAAGGCAAGGGGGACGCCACGGGTGCTCGCTTTGGCGCTTCCCACAGCATCCCGGCAGCATCCTGGCTGGCGGGAGGCACGACTCCAAGCTCCAAGCGCCTGCGGTTGTTAAACCCAATAATCTGTGTCTCGGGGGTGTCGCTGCAAGTGACTTCGGAGGGATTAGGAAATAAAACACCTCTTACTGGCTCGGGATGGGGGAAAGCCGCGATTTCGCAAAGGGGTGGAACCGGCCGGCCGGGGGGGGCGGG